AATTTAATTTGAGAAGAAAAGCCATGAGTTTATTCACCCCATGATTTAGTTGGACTGTTCCCAGAATAACTTCAGTCCAGCTGCCAGGAGAGACGTTTAGTTTTTATATATATAAAAGCAGCACCACCCATTTTACAAGATGCTGGTTGTTAGATTGCGCTGAAGATTATGAAGCAGGGGCATGTGTGTCAGCTGCTCCTGTTAACAGTGTTCTTGTTAAACTTTGTTTTTGAGCTCTGACATGTGTCTTAATAGAATTTATTTCTTTGGATAGGACACGAGACACAACCTCACGGTGAACCTGACCACGCTTCGTGTGTGGTGCTACGCCTGTGGCAAAGAAGTTTTCCTGGAGCGTAAACTAGGTCCTCACTCGCCTCACAGCAACAGCAAACCCCTCCCCTTGCCGCAGAACGTGGGTCAGGTATGAGCCAGGCTTCCTTTCTATTGTTATCTCACAGCTTGAAGATACGGTTTACTTGTAGAACAGGCTGGTTTACATATTCCCGAATGAGGAATTCCACCAGTAACAATTAAACTGTAGTTATTTATTTCCTAGACAAGATCTTTTATTATAAGGTTTATGTGTGTCTGTTACAGGATGGCAACAAGGCCCCTGGGAGTCCTACCTCCCTGAGAGTGCCCTCTAATGGTGGCTGTGAAGACATAGACATGGAGATGGAAGAGGAAGACGACATACGTGCCAGAGGTGAGCTGTGTTTAACTGATTACCACATCAGTGTCACAAAGAGTTGGCTGATAGATCTTATTAATGAATACTATCATTTTCAGATTAAAGTATTCAAATCAACACAGCTAGTTTAGATTTTATATTAAACACATCCAGACGGCAGACGGCCAAAAAACATAACATCTGCCACGAGAGGTGGTGTTTACTGCAGCAATGCAGTTTAAGCAGATTTAGTTTTAACACAGTCATACAGCAGTTCATGAAATATTCATGTGCTGTAATCTATTGATTTGTGTTTGTTGACCCTGGTTTTCGGGTCGATGAAGACCATTTTTAAATTTGCTTCAGCTGATATGTCCTGATTTCTGACTGTGTACACAAAATGGACATTTTTCCTCTTTTGAAAGCCCAAAGAAAAGTCCACATTTGATGGCTGAACTTTTATGGTAGTTAGAATTATCTGGTCCAGAGTTGTTATTAATTACCATTATACACTCTGCTAGGTAAAGGTTAAAGATGTCCAGTAGCCTGGTTGAGCTGACATTGTTGCTTTTATGTGTGGCACAATAATCAAATAAAATCAGTCAAGACCTTTGCAAAAATGTGAAGTATAAGTTCAACAAACTGGCAAACTTGCAATCAGTTTCTCACAATATTAACCAACAAAGGTAGATATGAGAGGTACATGTCTCGCACGCTCAGATCAAACACTGAACATGCTTCAACGTGCCAGCTCCCCAGTATTAAGTCTGTGCAATGTTCAGTTGAAGGAAGCAGGCAACTGCACAGTGAACGAGCGGAGTCATTTGTGCCGTCTGACT